CTCTCTCTCTCTATATATATATATATATATATATATATATATATATATATATATATATATATATATATATATATATATATATGTATATGGAGAAACACCTCCACTAGAGAGGAGATTTACTATTACTTATTGGGGGTATCAGCAATAAATAAACGTGCTCCCAATGAAAAATCAAAAGTCGGGCACTCACTGCCCTGACGGTCGTCGGCCGACGCGATTCTACGAAGAACTTGTCGTCACGGAGCGGGACGGATCGCTTGTAATGACGATCCGTTCACAGACTGCCACCAACAATAAGCAGACGACATGGAGTGCTAGACATCTTACGATGTAGTAATGCCGGGCACTCACTACGCCGTGCAATGGTCGTACCACGACCCAAACTCTGCTCCCTGTGAGCGATAGACGACGAGACGCCGTCTGCTGATTGTCAGTAGCAGTCTGAACGGATCGTCATTCAAAACAACCTGTTCATCGTGCCGTTACCGGTACCTTCTACATTACAATCGCGTCGGCCGACGAACGTCGGGCGCAAGGAGTGTCCGGCTTAAGTGCCCGACTATAAAGGCCAACTCAGGCCAACCCGACGCGATTTGTTGTCGCGTCGGGTCTGTCTGAGTTGAACGCAGACGCGATGGTGTGCGTCGGGGGCAGTCGCGTAGTAGAATATTAAACATGTTTAATATTTCTCACGACGGCTTAAGACTGTCCCCGACGATAAATCGGGTCGGGCTGCGTCGGCAGACGCTGTCTGAGTTGGCCTTAAGGGTGTAGCACTTAGCCTCACTTCTAACTTGGGGAGTATTTGAGATAGTCGGAATGTATTGGGTTCGAATACCAAGTAAGATTTATGTGTTTTTTTTTCTTTAAATTGCATTGCGATACAGATAGCTCAAAACAAGTCAATGATTCACATACTGGTAGGCAACTCTTCCAATTAACTACCAACCAATTTAAGTGTATATAGAAATGGCATTAGGGCTATTATGTGCCATGTCTGTAAATTGACAAAGAAAATAATTATTACCATTGACACAATAAATTCGAAGATCATATTTTACAGACTCTACACTATTTTAAAGTATCCATTTAAACCAGCTTAATGTGTTATATTCGGCAAACAGCACCTAATGTTTTTTGTATTTTATGCATAGGCCTATCGTGAAAAAAACATTAGAACACCTATGTAAAAAATAAATACATTTTAAGTGTTCGAAAATATAATTTACATTCACTAATTCTATATTATTTAGTCTACATGTATGACAGGGGAATATAAAACTATATAGTAAACAATGGTTGTTTTACAATGAAGCTACGCCGTACGTAACGCAAGCAAAGCCCGCTTACGCTATTCAACCACTGAATGAGGAATGATATTAGTGGAGGAGTCTCTTGCGTTTTGCGTCAAGTCGCTTTTGCTTAAACCAAACCTAACTACAGAAACGACTCCAAACGCTAAATATTAAATTGTTAACAAGATTTGCATATTATTGTTATGTTTTAAAAATATGAATAATTAAACTTATGGCCATAATGTAAAGTATACTGTGTGTTCATTAGGCCTATTTTGTCCTGATCTCAGCAACGTTAACATAAGTATGCTGACCTCATAGTCTACTAAGTAATACCTACAATATCGGGTTTTTGTTTAGTGTACTCTCCGTCGTAAAATCTAAAAATAAAATTTAAGGCTCTCTCTCTCTTTTAAAAAAATAAATAAAAATAAAAAATAAATAAATAAATAAACACAAAATTGATCCGTAACCATCTATAACACAGTCCTGTCAACTTTAACGCATATTGAATAATTCATTTTTTTTTGTCGATTTACAAAAAGTTTTACTAGAAAAAATTACGTTAATTACCAGCTGATTTAAGGTGTAGGAACGGTGACCTTCGACCAAGTGTCAATAAGGCCTATCAAATGACCAATCAGAGGGTTTCATTTAGTAGACGAAGGGGGAATGAGAGGCGCGGCAGGAATCTCACACAACCACGAATGGCTGCCGTTTGCGGGACCATAACAACAATACAAAGGGATGTGGATGTAAGCGTCTGTTAAGCCACTTCGTAGTTTGATCTGCGCATGCCTGTATCGAAAGTCAACCAACATAAACAGTGTGTGCGTGTGTTAATTAATGTTTATGTCCTTCGATACGGACATGCGCAGTTCAAAGTACGAAGTGGCTTATTAGCGAATCTTCTCGTTTTGAACGTTACTGCTGTACTTTTATTAAAGAATTCAAATATCAAATGTATTATTAAAGTTAAACATAGACAGACACTATTTAAGAATCAGTAAAAGTATGCTCTCTTGAAAGACGCCATCAATGCATTATGTTTGAATATCTGCATTCATGTTATATGTATTTCAAATTATTTTTATTTATTTAATCATTTATTAATATATATTTATTAAGGCAACTCCAGTATTTATGAATAGGAAATATGCATATTCAATTATATGAAAAAAGCAGATTTTCATTTCAAATGGCTTATAAATACGTAATAATATTATTTTTGTACAATCTTTATAACTTTACATTAAATATAAAATATTCACAGTTTTAACTGTCTGGAAAGATTAATATTAGGCCTATGTTTTCACCTCTGTTGCTAAACGTACCATTAACGTTACACATTAACATAAAAACGGCAGACCTAATAGAGGAAAACATTTTATATATATTTTTTTCTGCGAGAATGTTTATGCATTAAGTTGTTTTTCGTTGTTCCATTAAAATGTTTCCTTCATTTTGTGGATGTATACACCATCTTATCGGCTGTATTTTAAAACAGTGCCACCAACGTCTTTTCACCGGGGACATCCAGAAAAGCAGCAGTAACAAAATAATCAAAGACATTGCCGGTTTTATGCTCTCTTTTTTTCCCTTTTTTTTGTATTGGCGTTTTGTTTTCAAAGACAAGGCTACAACAAGAAAGAAAGCCGTGCACCGGTCTCCGATAAATGCCTCTGGATTTCCCAGGGGTGGTGCCAGTTGCCAGGTGCTAGGACATTTTTATAATAAGTTTTGGCGAAAATGGTGTATTGCAAAATAGTGATTTTTATCATCATCTATTGGAATAATTTATAATGGATTTTAACATGAACGGTATTCATGAACAAATCACACGGCTCAATAGCTAAGTCTATCAAGTTATAACGAGATAAAAAGACCAATACATCACATTAAAAATCAGGAATACGGAAGGGAAAATAATGCGTGCCCACTTGTCAATGATGTTCACGTCTTTTATACTCGGGACCTTGATTCGCGGTCGTCTTCTATTCTTTTTTATTGGGCTATTTATTCTTCTTGGACAATACACAATATTATGATTGATCCTTCGACCATCAAGGCTTGTTTTCCGACGTTGTTTTATAGACGGAGTTTGACTGCCGCCACCTAGACCGTTCAGTGAGTCCATTGGAAAGCCTTCCTCGTCTTCTTCATCTTGCTGGGAAAGTCGCTTACCTACACTTTGGTTGGTTGGTAGCTGTTGGGGTAAACATAATAATGCATTTTGATTGGTTGGTAGCTGTTGAGGTAAACATTAAAATGCATTGTGATTGGTTGGTAGTTGTTGGGGTAAACATAATAATGCACTTTGGTTGTTAGCTGTTGGGGTAAACATAATAATGCATTTTGATAGGTTGCTGTTGGAGTAGTAATAATGTGTTTTGATTGGTTGTTAGCTGTTGGGGTAAACATAAAAATGCTTTTTGATTGGTTGGTAGTTATTGGGGTAAACATTAATAATGCATTTTGATTGGTTGTTAGCTGTTGGGGTAAACATAAAAATGCTTTTTGATTGGTTGGTAGCTGATTGGGGTAAACATGTATTTAATAATTATGAAAATTTATAAATATTTGCTTTTTTTGTGTAATTCAGTTTACAATTTCACTATGATCTTTAATACGGTATTACATTTGCCCTTTTTTACAATTCTTGTTGATTTAGGAACGTTTACTGAGAAAATGAATTGTAGACCGTATGTAAAATAAATATAGAATGGCAAGAATGTCCTTAAACAAACTAAGATTGGTCTATTTGCTGAACAAATATACAGTTTTGGCATAATAGACCTAAGCCTATCAATTGTTCATGCTTTATAACTGGTTAACCGAATAAACATGTACGCTGCCATTGAATCCTACTGTTCAAAATTATCTTCATTTTGTAACTTAAAATACCATCAATATATGTTTATTGTAATTATCACTGTTTATGTTTACCACCCTAAAAGTGAATGGTTTTGATTACGTCACTGCCTGTCTCTTATACACATCTAGATGTGTTTTATTACCCAGTACTGCACCGCGCACTGTAGGTTTGTCTGTTTATCTGTTCTCCACAAGATACTGTGCTTTTGTTTTCTGCTTACTGAGTTTATAGCGGGCGTACTTCTACCGCGCTGCGCAGCTCTGCACTGGGTAATAAAAAGAATATACAACCGTTAGTTGGCGTCCTACACAGGCATGACGTTTTTACGAACGGGACTTTGCTCTCTTGTTCTATTTATACTCTTTGATATAACGTAGATTTGGCCACATTGCGTGCTAGAATCCACACGGCGAGGAGAACGTTCTCGCATGCGCAGACCAAATATCAGTGACGTCATTACGTTCTAGATCGCATCGTTCAATCGAAAGCTCTCTATTATCTACGGAGAAGATACTTTGAAATCAAGCCATGACAATGAATGAATGATTTCATGCACTTAGTTTACATGGTTGACGAAAAACAAACTCTATTTTATTACGGTATCAGCCAACAAACCGAATTAAATACAAAATGATGCATCAATAATTTGAGATTTTGTAGACATTGATACATCATTAACCATGTTTTACTGAGATAGACACATGATGCATTAAAATACTTAACTGATGAGTCCAGTTTATGAAATGAAAACCAAAGCATACACACTGTATTAAGATGTCTCAGGTCGTCATCAAAGCCGATTCTGAAACGTCATTCGTTAAATCTACGCTAACAGCTAACGTTATGTTAATTGCTCATGCAGAGCGCCACCTACAGCAAGATGTGAAGCAGTTGAATGATCATGCATGATGGAATTATTTTAGTCATCAAGTTACAGTATGTTCCTCAGAAATTCAATTTAACCCAGCTGACATTTTTACGCTATTTCAACTTTATAATAACGTTGCAGTTTGGTATTCAAAACACGATTTTGTATACAAAGTGTTTATTCTGCCAGTTAAAATTCGAATTTGCCTGACCTTAAAATTAGGGTTGGAGTGCGCCCTCATTAATCATCACGAAAATGGTTAACACTCCTTTTGTATATCCAACAGTACGTATTTTAGAACGGCTCGTAAGCTAACCATAACGTTCACAACGTTTGTGATAACGTTTTGTGTTTGCTGGGTAATAAGCAAATTCGTGGTTGGAGCTGCGCATGCTCGTATCCAAGGTCAATCGAGGTTAGTCGATATAAACCTATGTTGTGTAATGGTGTTTATGTCAAATGACCTTGATACGAGCATGCGCGGTTCTAACTACGAATTGGCTTATATTCTTGAAGCAATGATATATTATTAAACTTCAGTTCGTAAGGTTTGACCCACTTAAGTTTTTTTTTTTAATTTTTATTATTAACAAGTGATTATACAATTGTTCCTTTACAAGAAGAGGTCCTTAAAGACTAGGGATCATATTTCCTGACTTATTGAATCCTAAGTTTATTTATGAAATTTAATTTATTTACCAAGAGTTTGTTTCTTTCAATTGATATTGAATCTTCCCTCAGACAAACCACTTGGCCGATTTAATTTCTCCAAGCATTGACTAAAGATTGTCCAAATAAAATTCTTGGTAGTATGAAACTAATTATCAGGAATAACTGTCAAATTATAAGTTACTGTGTTACCATACCCACAAGACAGTTGCGTTTACCCTTTCTAATAAATGGACAAAACTTGGTTATAATTATAATTTTCACGTTAGCAATCAAAAATCATAAGCAATGAACAATGTGTCATTTGAATACTAAAATTAGTTAAATCAATGTCTTGCCTTGTGAATTATTAGTATGCTTTATATTAACTTGATAATTTGATGGCCAGTGAAGTTATATAATGAGTTATAAGACTATTTATAGTTACAGGACTTCGCGTGGGACTACGTTCATCACGTGTGGCAATTGGTTTTTTCCAGGGATGTATATAGTCTGCTCCGCCTGGTTTTTCGCGCGTCTACTGGTCTTCACTTCATATGAAATTAAAATGAATGTTAATGCAGATGAACACATGATTATGAAAACAAACATATAACACAACAAACACAGATTAACTACAGTATAACGATCCGTTGTAAATATGGATTCACCACGACCCCGCCACAAAGGGAAAACCTCATGATAAATTTCCATGGCAACTATTAAGCTCATGCAGCAGAGTTGGTTGTACCGATAGAGGGCGCTTACCGAGGGCAACTCTTGCTGAGGTGGCTTCGTGGTTTATCCAAAAAGCAACCCATGATAATATGACGATGAGATTCGATGGGAGAAACGTTTGAAGGATGAAAAAACTTATATTTCTTCGCATCCGAAAAATAAGCGTCAGGCGGGGGTATTGACCTAAATTACAAAAGAAAAAGATAACGGTGTAATATCATTATAAAAATTAATGACGATTCACCCGAGTGCTACACATGATTACTTTAGGCAGTTTAAAAATCACAGTTTATGACGTATAAGGTCGTAAGTAAACTAGCGCCAACTTTTCAGAGCAGAATTTGTCGGTTCCACGTTCTAAAAATAACGTAAAACAGTTATGTGCATAAGTACGATAGGCACTTCGAAGTTTGCGGTATATTAAATTTGCGACATGTAATAATGTCCTTTGCAATTTTGAAATCTCCCTAATACCTCCCTCAGCATACGACACAATTAATTACGTATTATTTGCGTGGATTGATTGCGCCGTAATTTGGGAGACGATACAAGTGTAGCATCTGTAGGGTGAATCGTCGCAGCAACGAGCCGTCCTTACCAAGGGCAACCCTAGCGGCCGTGGCCTCGTGATTAATCCAAAAGGCGACCCACGATAGGATTACGATCAGGGTGCATGGCAGAAAGGTTTGCAGTGCATGTGAGCCTATGTTACGGCGCATCTGGAACGCTAAACTCAAACGCGAGTAACCACCTGAAAAGAGAGGCCAATAGTAATAAAAACAAGAATTAATAACCATTCTTTGAAATTTCTAGCTGTCATTTCAAATTTGGTGACGTAAACAATGGTTAAGTTTGTATCGACCAAATGCAACATTTTTATAAAACTCAATTTGACTATAATGAATTTTAGCAAAGTAAATAAAAGTCTATATTTTCTCGTTGCAATTAATCAAATTAAATACGTCAGCAAAAACATATAAGAAATAAATCAGCTTAGAGCATAAATTCAAATCCATATAAATTATTTTAAATATAATTAGTTATCGTCATTGGTGGAAAATTAATTTAAAATAACATGTAGGATCATACTTATCGTCATTCATTAAATATTAAAAAACAGGGAGAACAAAGTCAATACATATAAAAATGTGAATTCTAACAGGGAACAGTGGAATTGCACTGTTCCCTGTTCTAACCACAAAGCACTGTAGCTAAATCAATAAACATTATATAAGCATTTTGTATGAATTTTTTCATTTGTGTTGATCCAGCAAAAAAAACCAAAAAAACAATAGTACTCACACTACGCTTCGCGAACGATCCGTTCGCTTTCTCAGGTAGACTGGTGATGTTATCGCCAGTCTGGTATTTTTATGTCCCAATTTGGAATATGATTTAGTTGTGTAACATGATCGGTGATTGCAGATTTATTTAAAATTTTGGAATCGGACTACCTTGCTGATCTTGTGATTACTAAAAGAAAGCTCATGGTTTGAACGAAAAGTCAGAGAATCTTTATGGATCAGAAAAACAACAGATACTATGAACAGAGATGAAGGAGGACACATTCTATCACATATCTATGATGATATCATATTGGACCACAACACTAAGAGGGGGGGAGGGGCTTCGTAGACGACGCAGCGATGCACTTCGACCTCAACAACACCGAGGTGACGTCAGACCAGACTGGCGATAACATCACCAGTCTACTTCAGAAAGCGACGGATCGTTCGCGAAACGTAGCCTACATTGTATTATATCACAAAATAAATGCACTCTTGGGCTATGTTGGGTGTCTATTATTAGAGTACATATTTGGTAATGACTTTAACTAACGAAGGCGTTGTAAGTGTCAACTGAAATTATGAAATTATTGAGTTACATCGTCTGCTTAATAGTCTAGTGACGAAATTAGGACGGGTGAGCGTTTACTTGCCGGCTACGTTTTAATCATTGCGTTATTAAAAGAATAGTCGAGTAATGTGTTGTATAATAAAAAGACATAAAAAATGAACCTTTCCGGAGTGTCAATCAAACTTAACTGGCTAATCAGGAATACGCGGGTGTCCTACAAACGTTAGTCAGGTTCACACAGGTCAGGTTCACACGAAAGCCCTAGTATCCAGATTGAGAGCTAACCCTTAGCACCCGTGTGAGAACGCGCTAACCGTTACCAGTATACGCTAACGGTTAGCGAGTGTTATCGGTTAGCAAGTTGAGCGCGTTTCATCATTAACTAATCACACATACGCGTTTCCAATTTCCAGTTTCCTATTGGCCAGTGATTCGATCATCACATTGGTATCTGGATTGGGGATTTTCTTGTATGAACGCACGGGTGAGCGCGTATGTTTGCAATCTGGATCCTGCTAACCGTTAGCTGCCGTGTGTGAACATAGCCGCTATGTTCACAGCTAACGGTTAGCAGGATCTGGATCCTGCTAACGTTAGCTGTCTTGCGTTCATACAAGACAATCCCCGATCCAGATACAAAGAAGATGATGATCGAGTCACTGGCCAATAGGAAACTGGAAATTAGAAATGCGTACATATGATTGGTTGATGATAGAAACGCGCTCAACTTGCTAACCAGTAGCGCTCGCTAACGGTTAGCGTATCCGGATCCTGGTAACGGTTAGCGCTAACCAATCGGGAGTTCTCACACAGGTGCTAACGGCTAGCGCTAACGGTTATCTCCCGATCCGGATACTAGGGCTCTCGTGTGAACCTGACCTTAGCTGCCGTGTGTGAACACAGCCTACGTCTAGTCCCACAAACGCACGTGTGTGCGTATGCTTTTACACAGTGGGACCTTAGCAACAATATCTAAGGAGCGGAATGTTCCATTATGTACTTGTCTCAAAAATGACCGCTCAGAAAAGCATCATTAACTCAATCATCGCATATTTCGAAAGTATTGTACGTAGTGGCAATTTCATCTTGCATTATTTTATTTTAAATTGTAAACCACACAAATTTGCACCCCACAAAAAAGTCCAAACTATCGACGTGCACAAATTAAAATGTGTTCTATAATAATAGGCCTATTCAAACTTTATAATGTAATTGTTTTTGAAACGACCATTAGCAAATTAAGGTACATAACAAAAATAATTTAGGATCGACTGAATTACAGTTATCACTCTATTCTATAACTTTATGATTTTAATCAACACATCAGCACGTTTATGTTCCAAAATAATTATACTTTTACTCTAAGACTTAACTGAGAAGTGCATTCTTTTTGATGAGACATTAACGATAATTTAGTCATTAATTCGATTAAAATAATACATTAGGCCTACGCTTAATACAAGCATGTTGTTACGCGACAGAATATATTTATAAGAGAAACATTACTACTACCAGTTTGTTGTTTCTACCTCGAAAAACATTTAAAAAATATAAATCAGTGACTTCAATTATATTTCGATACGCAGTGCCTATTTGGTGGCGTCATCAACAAAAACAACTTTATAAGAACGGTGTACCAAAAACAACACTTAAAGTAGATATCAAAATAATTGCAGACATGATCCTTAAACTTGTATATAGTGCGCCCTCATATTCACAAAGCGAACACAAATGAGATGTTGCTACACTACTACTACTACTACTGGACATTTCCAGGCTGTCAATCAAACTTACAACTGACCAATCACAACAGGACCAGAAAAACTTGTGCGTCTCACAAGTATACGTGTGTCCCACAAACGCACGTGTTTGTGTTTTTTTTTATTACACTGTCGTTTTGTCGGACCATAGCAACAATATCCAAGGGGCGGGGTTTAGCGGAAAGGTCCATTGTTGTTACTATACTGATATCATTCAATGGCTATGTTCGCACACGGGAGCTAACGGTTAGCAGGATCTGGATTATACAAACATACGCGCTCACCCATGCGTTCATACAAGGAAATCCCGATCCGGATACCAAGAAAAAGATGATCGGATCACTGGCCAATAGGAAACGTGAAATTGGAAAAGCGTACGTGTGATTGGTTAGCTTCATATCCGGATACAGTACTAGGGATCTCGTGTAAACCTGACCAATATAATTGCTGATGTAAATTGATAGCTCACTACGCGTGTGTGCGCGTGTGGAAGTGCACTTATTCCTTTTTAAAGGCTATGGCGGTATTCGCGCTTCTTGTACATACGCTGGTTGTAGATGTATTCTGTAATTCGGCTTATGAAGTGACTATAAACTAGATAGGCCTATCACAATAAATGTAATGATTGAACGTCCCTGGTACAAAAAAATGAAATGACATTTCATTATGTTGTTTCTAGATCACGTCTAACGAGACGTAGCCCCTCTCCCACCTAGGTTTATTTCACCTAAGAGTCGTACGATTTCTAAGAGTTAAAACTCGTGATCTTTGGGAAGGACCTATACGAGCTTATTACGTGATAGCTACGAGTGAGGTACGACTTTATAGAGTTGGTTACGAGTTATGTGCTGAAAAAAACCCTAGTGGGAGAGGGGCTTATCTCGCTTCTGTAGACCACGTGCACACATTGAGCTACACGTTGGCCAACACATTACTAGTAGGACTTCTGAAGAACACACCTATCCCCGAGGCCAAAGAAACAACAAATCAGTGCATTGCTTACTAACAATAATACTTAATAAGGTTTATGAAAGCGTACATTCGATTGGTTGTCGATCCGTTATTTGAATTTTATGGGATTTTACCTGTGGAAAAGTTTTGAACTTTTGCTTGTACGCTGTAGTCGACGAGTGTAAACTGAGCCATGTCGATATTCTCTGTACCCTCAATAGAACTATCGCCATACTCCCAGCGATACATGATATCTTCTGTTGTGTAACCATCTGTTAAAAATAAAACACAATTTTCTATGTAAGTATTATTCAGTTTGTGCTTGCGTGGGAAGTGGTGGATGAAATTATAATTTAATAATAATAATAATAATTATTATTATTATTATTATTATTATTATTATTATTATTTGATATTATTCTCCTGATGACAATTGAAGAAACTCCTTGGAAACGCCGAGACATTTTCAAGAACACAACAGTTCTTTTCAGAACTATCTCCGTGGTGTACCGCCAGCATTTAATATATAATTTGATAATGTTAAAGGTATTCTAAAAAGCACTTAATACGACATTTGAAAGCCTAAAAAGAATGTAACATATCATATGTCTATACAATATACGAGACAAGAGTAGTAAAATATATATATAATCATATACAAAATAAAATAAAATAAATATAGTATTAATATTACTATAAGCTGGCCTAAGATGAATTACAAGACAGAAGATAAGTTACAGTCTCATTCGTCCTCTAGTGCCGTATGTTTTCCCGTAAGCATTAACAAGATCGATTTATCGATGTGTTACTTGACATGAAAAACTAAAACGAGAAACTGAAAACATTAACTTAAATCATTGAAAAAAATGCTGTATTAAAAATTATTCCTTTTTTTATTATGGTTAGAAATTATTCACGACTTGAGAAGACCACGACCAAGAAAAAAAAACCTGTTTTAGCAGTTAATTGAATATTAAATTTTAAAATATTCACAACGGTTATTTGATGAGAATTTTTTAAATAAAAAAAATGCTGAAATTATGAGTTAGTGATTAACGACTTGGCGTTTGGGAATAGTAAATAACGTGGTGAATTAAATATTTAATTTAAAAATGCTCATCTTTTATGAGACAGTTTGAAAATATTAACTGTTGAAACTTGTACAATAGTGAGTAATGACTTGGCGACTAGTTTGGAAATACCTGTTTAAGCAGGTGTTGCATTATAGTAAACATTTATATAGATCTAAATGGTCATTATAAATAAATATAGATATGAAACAGTGACATATATATATACTTATATATATATATTATATATATGTATATATACTTATAATATATAGGCTATATATATGCGTAGCACTGGGCATTTATATAAACAAATCAATAAATGATAGAAACATATATTACATATAAATAGTCGGCGTTACCATGATGATGTTTTTCTATCTGTATTTGTATTAATGTATTTATGTTTATTTTGTCCTGAATGTTAATGCATTTGTATGTTAATGGATTTTCTTTATGGCGAAACAAGTATTATGAGATTAGATATCCGGTTATAAGAAACCGCCAAGTGTAGAATGTTGCGCTCTGTGATCCAATAGGCTTAAGTTTAGAGCTCAAGTTTAGTTCTAGCAGGTGACATCACTCTCTAAAATATCACCAGTAACATAATTGTCCAATTGTGTTTGTCCTATAGACTGTCATCCGTAGGGACCGTTTAAATAATATGTTAGCACCAGTGTTTGGTTTATTTGCAAAATCTATGATTATTATTATTATTATTATTATTATTATTATTATTATTATTATTATTATTATTATTATTATTATTATTATTATTATTATTATTAATAATAATAATAAATATATATATTAATAATAATATATATATATATTGATAAGCACTATATATATAATATAATATATGACCTATAT